GGTAGACCCTATGACATTATACCTGCTGAGTCCTTCCCCCCCCCCCAATGCTGCCCTCTACAGAAGCCACCCCCCAAAACTCCAGGCATTTCCCTCCTTAGAGCTGGCAACCCTACTTTCCCCTCAGTGCCTGTTGGTAGGCAACTAAGTTTGGTCCAGTCACCTACTTTGGCCTTTGGGAGAAAACATATTGGGGGCAATCCTGATAGGGTTGCCAACTCCAGATGGAAAATTCCTGGAGATTTGAGGGATGGAGCCTGGAGAGGGTGGGGTTTGCGGGGGGGGACCTCAGACAGGTATAATGCCATAGACTCCACCCTCCAAACTACTCAGTCCCTCATGGGGAACCATTGTTGCCAATCTCCAGGTGAGGGCTGGAGACTGCTCAAAATTACAATTGCTCTGCAGAAGGGAGGGCAGAAGTCAGCTGAAGTCAAAGGGGCAGATAATGGTAGGTTGATGGTTAGCTGGGAAGGAGATGGGGTTGCCAACTCCAGGCTGGCAAATTCCTGGGGATTTGAGGGGTGGAGCCTGGAGAGGGTGGGGTTTGAGGAGGGGTGGGACCTCAGACAGGTACAATGCCATAGACTCCACCCTCCGAACCAGCCATTCCCTCATGGGGATCCATTGTTGCCAATCTCCAGGGGAGGGCTGGAGATCACTCAGAATTACAACTCCTCTTCGGATGGTAGAGATCAGTTCCCCTGGAGAAAACGGTAAGCTCTGTGTCATTATACCCTGCTGAAGTCACCACAGCAAATTGACACTTTTTGCCCAAAGCCAGAGCACTCCCCCAAAGCCTCTTTCTAGATCTCGTATTTATTTCCACAACGGGCTTTACTGCTAGTTTTAAATATCTGGTGACTATTCTGACTCTTGAGTAAAGCAGCTGTTTACAAGAGATGTTGTTTTTTTCTTCATAGATCCTTTGCATATGATACAATTAAAGACAGGCTGCCTGAAATCCTGACTAGAGTTATTGATACTCTGCATCGACATAGAAATGAATTCTTTGAAGAACATGGAGAAGTAAGAAACTTTTATCCCTTTGTCTCTTAATGTTGCCTAAGCCTTCCCGTACATTTCTCTTAATTGAGCTGCATGATTAGAGAATCTTCCTCTGTGTTCATTCTAGTCTAAGTATGGGCCTGTTCACACTGAGAAGTTGCTGTGCTAAAGGCACGGATGATAGGTGGAGTTTCGGTGTGCGATCACACCGCAACATCTGGGAAGCGTAGTTTACCCGTGGCTTCCCGCCGAAAATGCGGAGTAAAAAACTACCACATACAATGTACTAGTTTCCGGAAAATGTGGGGCAAGGGCGGGCGTCTGATCGCGTTTCCGCTCGAATCCCGTGGCATCCAGCGCCCGTTCATGTCCCGTCGCAAACCGGATGGTTTTTTTAAAGTCTCCACAGGATGCGCTTGCTTGATCATGCGCATGCGCAAACGTCGGTGGGAAAAAAATCCTGTTTGCCACGGAAGCGGCGCCTAGCGATTGCCGGTGTGATCGCGCCACTTCTTTGCTGCGTTTCAGGATAGCCATGTGATCGGCACCTAACGGTGTACCATAGGAACTCCGTGGGACTGTGATCGGGCTGCTGCGCTTTACTTTGCTCATGGGCAAACAGCCACGCCTCACCCCAGCGTTATCTGGCCCGTGTGACGGGGGCCATAATTTGTATTGTGTCCTCCTTTTCCTTCACTGTCTGTACAGTCTCTTTGCTGTCCTTTTGTAGACTAGGATGTCTTGTTCTCCTGTTTTATTTCTCTATTCTTAATTAAGAATGAGTTTTTCCTATTGTCATTATGTTTCTCAGAGACAGTGTGTTGCTCTGAATGCTCGATATTATTTCAGAGAATACCAGAGATAGCATTTGCTACAGTGGAATCTGATCAAGGGCTTTGTTTAGGATAACAGAGAATTCCAAACTATGCTATTAGAAAATTTACTTTTATTATTTCCTATCCCTTCAACCATAGGTTGTTAAGATTTGGGAAAAAGAGAAACAGATCAGTAAATCATTGACTATTACAACTATTTAAGAACCTGTGCAAGAAATTTGGCAGCAGCTTCCAACCAGTCTGTGGAATTAGAAAACAATAATTTCAAGATAATATAATTACTATAACACTGAACATCAGAATTAACAAAAGCTCCCAATATATCACACTGAGCTTTAGCAAACAAGGGACAGTATAACAATACCTGTGAGACAGTTTCTATTCCCAGAAGCACAAGAACGCTTTTCCCCATCTAGGAAATGGCTTTGGGTCTTCCAGTGTATTCTGCTGTTGGAAGGGAATTGCACCTTGCTAAAACAATTAAATGTCTATATTTACGGTTTTGCATAGTGATCAAATAGTTGGCAACTGTAAAACAAGTAGTAGGAATATACTCATAATACAGAGGAGAATATTCCCTATACAAATGATTCACGAAAACGACCACAAATTTTGTTAGTCTTTAAGGTGCTACTGGACTCTTACTCTTTTTTATTCCCTATACAAGTCAGATAAGAGCCCAGACGAGTCTTGCAATAAAATAGCTTATTGTGTTCAATATATGATCAGAGTAATAATTAAATTGTCATCTGATGAAAATCCCAACTTGTGCAGTTTACCAAGAAAAGCATTAAGACTCGATGATGAATGATTCTTGCCTCATAACACCTACTAACTGAACATCTTGATAGCATATTTCCATGTTATTGATTGTAGGGAACACAATCCAATTTCTAATCTGATTACTGAATTAGAGTCACAATTGGGAATTCCCAAGATGATTAGAAAAAAACTTATCTGAGATCTCTCAAGATCTGTGACAATCACGTGCTGCCGTAACACAGCCTGATACAAGGTTGCAGATAATAACTTAAAGAGTTACATAATTCGAGCAGTGCTGAAATGAACTGTCCAGATTTTGTGAATAAAATTTCCTCAAGGATGTAAACAGAAGCTGAAAGCTACTTATTATGTATTTTAAATGGATTTTCCGTGCCATAAGTGCATCAAAATGGATACCCATATATTTATAAGAATAAACTTGCTCAAATCCCTACACCCTCCAAGGATCCTCTGCCTTTTTCCAAACACCAATATTTTAGATTTTTTTGATTGATGCTAAGTAACTCCATCTCAAAGTAATTAATAAATTAAATTTCTTAAGCCTTGCCTAGGTAGTGATAAGTATTAGAAAATTAAAATGGTGTCAGACTTATTGGCCTACCAAAAGAGAGCCACATATTAGGAATAACACTGTACTTGGAATAAAATACTTTGAAAAGTGTTTGAATAGTTTTATCAGAGCAGGATTTGGAAGCCATTTGAAGGGCTGGAAAATAGAGAAAGAGAGGCATGGGGGGAAGCTTAGCAAATGGCCTTCTGTGGCTCATGACCTGCAGGAAGAAATGTTCACAGCTGGCATCCAGATGTTTCTTATTTTGACATACATCAGGAACATCATCAGCTGTGCTGAACTTAGGGATTGTTGCAAGTAGATGGATTTCATAACTGACATTTAGCTTGTAGAGGAATAATGTAAGTTATGCTAGCAAATACCTTCACAAGGAATAAAGAGGCAATGGAATTTTACAAGGTTCGGTTGTAACACTCAAACCCACCATATTGTTCCCACAAAAATCTAAAATACCTCCAAATTGAAATGGAGACGCATTTTTCATTTTATGCCCTCTGAAGGCCTTGCAGTCACTCATTCCCAGATGAAAATTTGATGCTCCCATTGTTGTTATGCTCATTTATATGCCATTGTCTTGTCCATATTTTCAGTTGGCATAAACAACAGAATCATTGTGGAAGGGTGTGTGTGACAAGATTAATTGTCGACAAGCAATTTAAAAAATAGATTTTTGGATCCTGTTGAAGGGAAAACAGCACCTTGCATTTTGTGCTTTGCAAACTTATGAGGAAACTGTGATTTACTATTGTACGTGGGTGTTCCTTGTACCCTGAAGTACTTTTACTTACTTACCTTGGCTTACAGCATTATCTGCAGGAAACTGTTTCTCTAGGAATTCAGTTTAATTCCAAGACTGTGTTTGCTGTCAGAGTAGCTAAACTGAAAGTTATGGGATGTGCACTGTGCACTTTTGAAGTGAATTCTTGACAATCTGTATCCTATTTAGCTGTTGAGATACATAAAAGGATATTATGTGTTAAATATAGTTATTGAAAAGGTTTATAAACAAATACATATTAGGATTGGAAACCTGTATTTCCCTTTTTATTTTAGAAAGGTGTTGAAGCAGAGAAGAAAGCTATAGCCTATCTCTCCAAGTTACGTAATGAGCTGCAGACAGACAAGCTATTGATTGCTTTGACTGATAACCTGCCTGATACTGCCCTGTGGAACCAGTACCTAGAATATCAGCAGAATTTATCGTATGGACCACCAAGCTGGTTTAAATCACCTTGGTTATATATTGAATGTTACATGTATCGTAGAATTCATGAGGCATTAGTTCTAAAGTAAGTACATGTGGTGTTTCAGCTTTTTTTGTATGGCTTCCATTTGTTGGATAAAGAAACTGGGGGAAAGAATTCAGTTTTAAAGTAAAAGAGAACTTATTTTTGAGTTCCAGCCATATTCCTTTCTTCACTGCTTCTAAACTCATTCTGGACTATATTTCTGGCTGAAAAATTTGAAATACTTTGGAACGTTTCCATACTTTGCTGGTTCTGTGATCTAGAATCTGCAAAAGTGACACATTTTACTTTTATCTATAGCTTAATTCATTTCTGACATCACACTTTCTGGTAGATGAAAAATAGTGAAAACTTTTTTAACTCCATGCAAAATTACCAAATGAAGCCTTCATTTGAAAAATATCTAATCATTTATCATCTTTAGGTACAGTTTCTTTAAAATGTATATTATTTATTAACTTATATAGCATGTAATTTTTCTAGAAATGTAGCGTTTCCAGAAATTTTGAAACGATTGAGTAAGAAACTGTTCCCTCCCCTTTTTAGAAAAAAGACATTTTAAGGAAAATAAGTGGTCAGGAAGCATGGATGGTGATGAATTGGCTGCCTTCCTCCTTTATAAGTGGTTTCTGATAGCTGCTCGGGATCTTGAAAGAATAATTTTAAAAAACTTGAAGCATTTGAGTTTGAGACATGACTTAAAGACCACCCACCTTTCCCAGTGTAATCTGTGCTTTGCATCCTTAGCCTTTGCTAATGAAACACATTCCCTGTAAGCAATAAAAAACAGTTTCTTATACTACAGTTCTTTTATTATCTGTCTAGTAGTTTAACTGCTGCACACTATTATAACAATAGTGTTTTCCTGTTTCTCATTGCAAATCTACAATATTTCAGCAACACTTTGGATTAAATAGGCTTCTGTAGGCTAATGTGGGAGCCTAACCATCATCTGTTACATGTATCTTTAGGGGAAAATGTATTCTGGGTTCCGAATACTTGACTGACAACAAGAACATATCAATATCATAATGCCGCTATATAAATCAATGGTGCGACCTCATCTGGAATACTATGTGCAATTCTGGTCACCACACCTTAAAAAGGATATTATAGCTTTGGAAAAAGTGCAGAAAAGAGCAACTCGAATGATAAAAGGGTTGGAACACTTTCCCTATGAGGAAAGGTTAAGGCGCTAGGGCTCTTTAGCTTGGAGAAACGACGACTGAGGGGTGACATGATTGAGGTTTATAAGATTATGCATGGGAAAGAGCAGGTAGAGAAAGAGGTACTTTTCTCCCTTTCTCACAATACAAGACCCCGTGGGCACTCCATGAAATTGCTGAGCGGTCGGGTTAGAACGGATAAAAGGAAGTACTTCTTCACCCAAAGAGTGATTAACACTTGGAATTCACTGCCACAGGAAGTGGTGGCAGCTACAAGCATGGACGGCTTTAAAAGGGAATTAGATAAGCATATGGAGCATAGGTCCATCAGTGGCTATTAGCCACAAGGTATAGATAGGGACTCTGGGGCAAGTGATGCTCTGTCATCTTGGTGCTTGGGGGGGGGGGTCAACAGTGGGAGGGCTTCTAATGTCCTGGCCCCACTGGTGGACCTCCTGATGGCACTGGTATTTCTGGCCACTGTGGGATACAGAGTGTTGGACTGGATGGGCCTTTGGCCTGATCCAACATTGGCATCTCTTATGTTCTTATGTTCTAACACAACCTGTTTGTATGTTATGGACTTACTGTATAAATAAATAAATAAACAGAGTTCCAAACATTCTTTCTTAGCACATGCTGCTCATTGCAAAAGTGACAAGTCTGTTTCACAGGAGTTTTCCCTATCCTGAATTTCCCATTTTTTCATTGGATTTTTTAAAATCAGGAATCGTCGCACCCCCCCCACCCCACCCCCCAGGACTTCACATCTCTAAACCTGCTTATACAGTGCTTAAGGATATGGTAGTACCTCAATTTCTGGGATACAAACTAATGTAAAGCCCTTTTACCTTATATGAAATAAAGCAATTATTTATTTAGTTTATTGGGGAGGGAATGAAAAATTATTTTTTGCTGTTCCTGAAATAATTTCTGAGCACTTTCAATTATGATTTACTATACAGATTCTGTACATTTTCCTTATAAAGTGCTATGCAGCCTGTCATGTAAAATGTCGACATTAACAGAATGTGTGAATGGTTCAGGAATTCAAGATTAACAAAGATCTGCATTTGTTGAAAATGTTTTGATTACTACATTCTATTCTAAAACTGCCTCTTTTTTACTGTACAGAGGATATAAAAGAAGGAAAGTTAACAGATTATTGTTTGTAAATCATGACAAATTATTGATTTACCCCCTTAGTTACAGATATACCCAACCATTGATTTGAATATTTAATTTAGATGTTTATACTCTGCTTTTCTCCCAGATGGGCCCCAAATTGACTTATATCATCATTCTCCCCTTCATTTTATCTTTACAACAGCCACCCTGTGAGGTAGGCTCATCTGAGAGTGACTGGCCCCAGCTCACTTAATGAGTGATGAGTAATGGCGGAGTGGGGATTTGAACCCAGGTTTCCCAGACCCTAGTCCAGCACTCTTAACAGCTACACTTTGCTGAAAGTGCCTTTCTAACCACAGTTGCACCCTTCTAAATCCATTGACATCAATCAGTTTAGCAGCATGTAACTCTGCTTAGGATAGAACTGTGAATTGTATAGTGTGGGGTTAAGCACTCCTCAAGAAATGATAGAAGAAGGGAAAATTTTAATAGCACTCCAAGGAGAGAGTTTAAGATAAGCTGTGGGAGAAAAGGATTTGTGAACAAATGAAAATGTTCTCAAACTCATTCCAAACACTTCATTGGTTAAAGCAAAACATGATGTCTGATGTAAAACTGTTGCTAAATATCATCTTGTATTCTCCGTGGCATTGTTTACCCTGTTTCATGACATCGTGTTATGCATTTCCCTATCCCTGCCCATGATGTGGAGCTGGGTTAGAGAAATGTACAACATACTCTTCAGGAAGTGCAGTAAATGGTCCCACAAGTGAGAGGGAGGAGAACTTGGTATGAGGGTTCAGTTTTCAGTAATAGTATTTGTTTCTTTCTCTTTAGTCCTCCCATCAGTGATTTTGATGTATTTCATGAAGAAAAGGTACATGGTTTCTTCGAATCTCAGCAAGCTATTATTGTTTTAACTTCATACCTCCAAGAACTGCTGAAAAATATATCAAACGTAGATGAAAAACTTCTTCAGGGGGAATTTTTAAAGCTTTTGCAGGTAAAATTAATAACATTACAGTTCAGAAACATGTATTACAAATATGATGTAATTCCTAAAGGCACTTTAAGTTTTCAAAGATCAGCTAATAGTGCTTTTGTTTAGATCAGGTTTTCAAAATGAACTATTCAAAAACTTTCACGTCATCAGAATGAAAAAATCCAGCTCTATATCCCTTTAAAATCCAGCTCTATATCCATGGTTTTCTGCAAGATCTTTATGACTGCAGAGAACTGTGATAGAATTGTCACAATATTAGTGGGTGAGCTACTGCTGGGGCTCAGGATAAAAATGCAGTCAGAAGCCAAAAATAATATGGGGCCTGCTCTGGAACTCACTGAAACTATTCCATGCACACAATTTGATTAATACACGTGGCAGTCTGTAGCATACTGTTCATATTTATACTGCCAAAATCTCTTAGTTCCTACTTCTCTTTTTTTAGAAGGTAAGTCAGTAGTCCAGCAGTATTCACTCTGTGGCTTGTGGAGCATTCCCAGTTGCCATCAGCCAAAAGAGCCAGATCTGCTTCCACCCCTGGAATGAGGCCTGCACTTCATTGAGGCTCGCAGCTTAACTGTTCTTCTGACAGCAGCTGTTTCGGAGTGGGCATCACCTGCCAACCACAAGCCCCACTTTCCTGAAATGTGGGGCAGGTACCACATTGAAGAACAGTGCTCAGAAGAGCCAAGGGTGGCTCCTGAGCCACAGACTATCACTGCTTTAATCAGCGGGGTAAAGTGTGCCAGTTCTCAATACAAAGCAGAGCTTCAGTCCATTAGAAGCATGCTTCAGCATGTATGTCTTCAGCTCGACAGGGATATGCATTTATAAATGGGTGGTGAGTGAGTGTGCATGCATCCTGATTCAACAACTGGGCTTGTGTACATAGCCCTGTTTTTAAAATGTGTAATTTCACCCATCAACTATACGAGGTGATGAAGAGGACTGGATTCAGTGCTCCTTCCCTGCCAGTCAACTGATTGGTGGGATTACAGCTTTAAAAATAATTATTTTGGATCAGGCTTAAATGTGTTTGGTGTACGCCAGGTGGATGAATTGCCTGACTGGTATTGCAAAGTTTAACATGTTCTTTTCCCTCTTTAGGTTTCACTGTGGGGCAATAAGTGTGACTTGTCAATATCAGGTGGTAAAGATAATTCTCAGAAGTCAGATCCCTTGGAAACTTTGGAAGAGTTAAAATCTTTTATTTTGGTGGATCACATGGAAAAGATTTGGTCACTGCTTATAAATGCAAAGAAAATGAATTCACGGACCACTACTAGAATTGACATAGTCCTGGATAATGCTGGATTTGAACTTACTGCTGATCTTGTACTAGCTGACTTTTTGGTATCATCAAAGCTGGCTACTGAAATTCATTTTCATGGGAAAAGTATTCCATGGTATGTATCAGATACTACAGTTCGTGACTTTAACTGGACTATTAAACAAATGCAGTCAGCTAATCATAAGTGGATGTCCAAGTGTGGCATGTGCTGGGGGGGCAAAATGAAAAATGGCATTTGGGTTTACCATGATCACGTTTTCTGGACTTTGCCACATGGATTTTCGAGCATGGCTCAGGTTGCTCCTGATTTGTATGCTGAGTTACAGAAGTCAAACTTAATTCTTTTTAAAGGAGATCTGAACTATAGGAAGTTAACAGGTGACCTAAAATGGGACTTCACAGTGCCATTCCATCAAGCCTTGAATAGTTTTCATCCTGCCCCCCTCTGCAGCTTAAGAACATTAAAATCTGATGTTCAGGTTGGATTGCAACCTGGGCAAGGTGAGCGGTTTATGAATACTGAACCTGAATGGATGATAATTGGGAAATATGGTATAGTCCAGTTTGATACTTCTTCATGATTGACTTAAATGATATGAAGGATATGACACTGTGCTAAATGCTGTTGTTGCTAAGCGAGGTTAAAAGATGACTGGCTTTCAATATGCATGTTCTCTTTTTTCTTCAAAGTGTCTTACTGTTATTTTTAAAGTGGTATACAATTGTGACACTTTAAGAGACTGTTCTGATATTTTCTTCCAAAATATAGAAGATACTAAATATTTTATTCTGTAAAATATTCTGCTTTATAATTGAAGAATGCCCCAGACAGTGACAGATGCTTTAATAACTGTCATTCAGGCCTCATTAATTTTACCGTACGTGCAGTGGAATGTCGCTAACAGGCTTGAATTCCTGTAGCAAAGTCTTACTTTAAAGCTACTTGAGTTTATTGACTGTATCGTAAATAATTGATTAAAATGACATGTAAATATACTCGGGGATAATGTGTTCCACAGTTCTTTAACACCTTGTTGGTGCACCATTTTTCTCTCTTCAGAGCCTGCTTGACCCCTAGAAACATTTTGGCTAGCTAGAGAAAAGGAACGTCTTGCCCTTTCAGGCTGTCTAGAAGTCTTCTGGGACTATGTGCCCTCTGTCTCTTCCTGGCAATGGGTTGGATCCCATGAACAGCGGATGCAAGGATTGCAGAACTTTCCCATGTTCCCCCACCCCTCAGCAGACAGTTCTGACCCTGGGAAAGCTTATTCCGGGGCACACAAGACCTGTGTGGTCTTAATGCGATGCAGGGCAGGAAGACACTGTGGCAAGGTGACAATCACCCTCTCTTCTCCCTTCCATCAGTGGAACTGTGCTGCCAGAAGAGCCAGGACAGTTTTGCTCCCTCCGCTTTCCCTGGTGCAGCTTTTTGACCATATGATTATTAGATCACATAGGTTCTGTGACTTTGGTCAGAAAGGACTACTGGGGAGAAGGGAATTGAGAAAATAATCCATAATTTTCAGCACCTTTTGCTGACTGATTACAAGATCCAGAAGGTATAAGTGAGCAAGTGTCAGCACCAGCAATATTTGATCTGGTGAGGTAGTGGTGGGTGGGAGCTGCAATAAAGGGGAGGGGAGGGGAAGGGAGAAAAATACTACTTAGTAAGCCTTTGTCAATTCTGTACTCTTGTTACTTCCTGTTCAGTCTAGGGCTTTGGGAGGGCACTGCAACTATCAATAGAACTGTTCTTTATAACTCAGCATTCCAGATATCTGATGTTCAGAGTGGTTTTGCTAGGTTCTCTAAAGGCCTAGAACAGGGATTTTCAACCTTGATAAGCCTGGAGAAAGTGGGAAAATTGGAAGTAACATTTCTGATTGGCATAGGAAGACTTACAGGAGTGGCAGTTTGCCACTCCTCCAATTGGGAGGGACGGGCTGTAAAAGAGGCTTGGTTGGTCCACTTGACCAAGAATTGGTTGTGAAGAAATGTTCAGCCTGGGTTGTTTGATTATGTCACCATGTACAATATAATAGCCATGGTGCCTTGGCTAATCTTAGTTGGGTCCACCTCCCAGGACTCAATGGTCACACCGCTCCTTTCTTGATAAATCTCCAGTTGCCTCAGGAGGCTCACATTCAATCATACTGAGTGGCTAATGCTGGCTTCACATTCCTTTTACCGACTCACCTCCATTTTTGCCTAGAGATTCTGTGCATTCTGGCAGACTAATTCTAGATCTGGCAAAGGTCTGGTTATGTGCTAATCAAGATTGTAAGGAGTAATGCCAAAAAATGGAGGCTTACCAGTCTCAACGGCAGCACTTCCTGTAGATACAAAGGTGACATCTCCTGGGTTCTTCTGAAATACCGCTTACTCCAGAGGAAAGTATTGATGCTTTGGGGAAGAAGGAAGTGGGTCCCATGCTGGAGATCACTGGCCTCTTCTAGGCAGCTAACCTTGCCATATAGAAAGAAAACTACAGAGTACCTTGGGCAGTCTCTCAGAATCACAAGAGAAGCAAATCCCCATCAGAAGTTGTATGCACACAAAATTATGAAGTTTAAACAGTTTGTATGTAAGGAAATCGTTCCATCAAACAAACTGTCACAAATACTAGGCAATGACATTAAGTAGCTATATTCACACTGAACTCATAAATGCAGTGAATGCATTTGCTTAAAGGATCACAATCTCCCAACAACTCGATTTAGTGCTTTATATAGCATCATTACCATTGATTTTACAATCCTAATCCATATGATCTGATAGAAGGGCTTCAGTGGTTCCAAGCCTCTTTGGCTGACTAATATCAGAAGGTAGTCCAGGGCTGGGGTGTCAAAGATATGGCCTGTGGGCCGCATCCAGCCTGAGAGCAGCTGACTCTGTGCTGCTTCCTGGTTCCTGTTTGTAACGTCACAGCTCCTTTTGCCTGCTTCAAGAGGAAAGAAAGCGTTCCCACCATTGGCTAAGGGCCCCTCCCCCTCCTCCTCTTTGGCTTGGAAACGGAGATGAGTACTGCCCCCTAGAGTCGGATTCAACTAGCTTTCGAGCAAGGGAAACCTTTACCTTTTACTTCCTCACAACAATGAGAATCATTGGGTGACCATGGCAGTTTGAGTCCCAATAGCAGGTTGGAAGCCGAATGAGAATGGCTCTAGATAATCCTCCTCATCCAAGAAAATACTATGGTTTACAGTATGATTGCCACTTCCACATGATCCATTCTTGCACCAAACTGATACTTGAAGAGGGAGCCATGTGGGATGGATACTTCCATATCGGTGCATAACCCCTTTGGGGCTGGCAGGACTAACATGGAAACTAATCAAGTTATGCACTTCCTCTTAGCAGTTTACATGTTTCAAACATCAATACAACATTGTACCTTAAGAACTACCTTCTCTCATGTAAGCCTACCCATCCACTCTGGCCATCTTTGGAGGGCCCCGCTTTGGGTGCCCCTGCCATCTGAGGCTAGACGGGGTACCTTCTCGGTTGTGACATCAACGCATTGGAACTCCCTCCCAAGGGAGATTAATCTGTCTCCATTTGTTGATGTCTTTTGCCCAGTAGGTGAAGACTTTATTATTATGCTTGGCACACCCCCAATAACTGCTCCTGGTCCTCCTCCCTTGTTTTGGTGTGATGCGTGTTTATATGTTTTTATTGAATTATTGTATACATATTTTTAAATGCTGTCTTAATGTTGAAATGTTTTAAAGTTTGATGTTTGCTGCCTTGGAGGTTCTATTTTGGGGGAAAGGTGGCACAGAAATGTTTTAAATAAAACATGGGATACAGCCAGGTGGCAGTGGCAGCTATCCCGCAAGGCTAACACACATACTCTGGGTTCACTTCCTGTGTCAGAAGGCATCGTTTCTCTGTGTTTGGCACTCAACAAATGCTAAAGCCCAAGCTGTCTGTTAGAAAGAAAAAGCAGTATATGTAGTGCATTCCCAAATATATAGTTTCTTATTTATTTCATCATTATTATTATTATCATCATCATCATCATTATTTTATTATTTTTATTTATTTATTTTTATTTATTATATATATTATTTTAATTTATAGCTAGCCCTTAAACCATTCTCCTCTCCCCCATTTGATCCTCACAACAACCTGATGGGGTAGGTTAGGCTAAGAGTAGCCCAAAGTCAACCAGCAAGCTTCCATGGCAGAGTAGGAATTTGAAGTTGGTTCTCACAGATCTTAGTTCGACACTCGAACCACTATATCACACTGGCTCCTGGGCTCAAAAGTTTCACCTTCCAAATGAAAGAATGTGATCCACTGCAAGAACCATGGAAGGAAAGTATACATTGTTATAAGTAGGATTCTGTATACATTATGGGGGGAACACCAGTTTGCCATAAGTCTTGGCTGTGTGGATGCTTAGTAGTCAGCAGAAATATTTCTAATCTCTGTAACTTCCTGTCCAAAGTTCTGGCAATTTTCATAGACAAACCAAAGTGGTCCATGAAAGGAACAAAGACTTTGCTTTCTCCCTCTTTATTAACAGGAGGGATAGTTTCTTTTTTGGAAAGGAAATTGGCATGCTTTACAAAGTTAAAATATATCAAAGAGGGTCATGAAAATCCCACACTCCCAGTACCTATAAATAACTTTTTAAAATGGATGCTAGTGGAAGTTTGCCCAAGCAGAAAACTGGAATTGCCTTTTGAGTTTCCACAAAAGGATTAAAGGCTTATCTAAGATTTTTATTAAGTGTTCTGGATCTTACAAACCTTCACCAACAACCTTTAATGAGCTGTAATATAATTTCCAAAGAAGATCTACAATACAGTCCTATGCAGAGTTATTCCAGTCTAAGTCCATTGAAGCCATGTCACTGCGTAGGATTGCACTGTTAGAAGTCTAATAAATTTCACAATTTTCATCTAATGTCTTCTCATTGTAATTAGAGATAGAACTTGAAATCTTTAGCAGGCTGTTCTTTTAAGATCCCTATTTCTGTCTGCTGTTAAAGTAAAGGGAGGGGGAGGTGGGTATAAATAATGTAAACAGAATTTAGTGTCTACTTTGTGTCATGGTTTCATGCCATTGGTAGGAAACTTGTACATATTAATTTATTTTGCCCATACAGTATTATAAAAGCCAGCAGACAAGTGCTAAAGGAGTGGAGCTCAGGAGCGTAGCTGAGACAACTTGGATTGAAATAGTTGTAAGAAATTCTGATTCAATATGCCTTCATATAGTAGCTCTATGTAGCATATGGCTGACATTGCAGAAAAGAAGGAACAATTGCTTAAGGATAAAGTTTGTATGAAAAGAAATGGACTGAAAACCTTCTGTATTCTGCAGAAAGTGTCAACCCTTTATTGATTTCATGACGTCATGTCTGAACATGACTATTACAATATTTTTGTAAATGTTAATATTCATCCCATTCCTTGATTGTATTTCTAACATATGACTTCTCTACTGTCGTTTTCAACCTCTTTGCACATTGCAACAAAGCCGAGGAAAGAAAATGTTTCATTTCAACAACTTCCTTTCCCATGCAGGGATGCGGTGTTTTCTATGTTCCATCAAATTCTGGAGTTAACAAGCAACTTATCAAATCAATCAATCATTTATTACAGTCATGTACCAGCAGGATAAAACATACACTAAGAATTATTCTAAGAATATATCTATATATATATAATTCTGAGAATAATCTTCCATTAAGAGATATAAAAAAGCAAATATGTGTCACTAAATCAACAGCTCCATCTGAGGTTTCAGATTCAAGATCTGCAAGAAGAAAGAAGGTTTGCTATTCCTCCAATCTTCCCAGGAATTTTTGGAGGATGGTATAATAAATACATATCTAAGGCCATTATAGAAGAAGCAAAGCAGCAGTGCAGATCCAGCCATTTTCAATTTCCTCAGCAGCACAAGGCCGTAAGCGCACTGGAAGTGGCACACACCATGGTATCTCTCTTCTAATAAAGTGGATGGAAGAACATTGAGATGGGCCAG